AGTCAAAGCCATTTCTAGCTATTTAAGTTTGCATGAACTTTGGGGTGTACTTGGACATCTAGTATGGAATATTTTAAGTTGGACATCTAGTTTGTAATGACTTGTTTAAATTATTGTAATATATAAGCTCTTACTTGATTAGTTTCGTTCTTATTTATGGATGACCTACAATAGTATATCATATAATACGTGTACAAAAACTATTTAAAACGAAAACAAATTGAATGGAAAGAAACTGCAAAAGAAAAGAAAAAAAAAAAAACAGAAAAGGAGATATTTAGTCATGGTTGGTTATACCAACCGAGATTGGAGGTGGTGGCCCTCGGGCTCGGCCTGGAGCCCCCTTTAGTCCCGATTGGTATAAGTAACCGGGACTGAAAGGCCCCCATTCAATCCTGGTTGGACGGTCTGGGACTAAAGGGCGGGCCTTTAGTCCCGGTTGGGAAACCAGGACTAGAGGGGGTTTCCCAACCGGGGCTGGAACCTAGTCCTACACTAGTGGTCGGTTTCAAAAGTACGGACAGAAAATATGAAAACACATAGGGAAATTCATGACCCCCTAGATTTATTGGCTACCTAAATCTGCTCTTCCACTATCCATTCCTGCGGGTGAGTAGGGGGCTCCTATTTTTCTGTTTGGTCGTTTTCATCGCCCCACACTGGCTACTCCTTGCTCGATCCCATCTCCTTGCCCTTCCTCACTGACTCCAGGTGGCCTATGTGATTGGCTAGTGCCGCTGGCGTCATAAAGGTCGGCGCTACACCGCCGTACCACCACAATGACCTCCCTCTTGCATCCCTACTTCATCGAGGCCGGCAGACTCTCCCAAGGTCTATGATCCCTAATGTATGTGTTGTGTTCGTTGCAACTAGACTAGATCACCTCTTGTGTTGATCTCGATCTAATGTTGTGGCATCAAGAACAGGTTAGTCTAGTTTCAAACCTTTAGCACTGAATCAAGTCTCGGTTTGAATGTTTAGAGGTCAGATTTGATCTAATTGCGAGGGGAAACAATACTTGACCCCACACCCCTTTCTAATGGCCCAGAGCCAGAGATCACATAGTTCCAACACGGTCAAATCCAGTGATGATAGATTTAGACCCCTCAGTGATCTATGGATCTAGAGTAGTGTCTCACCAAGTTTTGTTGGTTGTATTTTGATAAAAGATCTGGAGTAGTGTTGTTGCCGCTGAAAATTGACAAATTTAGTTGCCAACAAGTGTCTCACCAAGTTTTGTTGGTTGTATGTTGACCAGTCTATCCTGCATTGGTCATTGCTTTCTTCTTTCTTTCTTTATTGATTTGGTGGTAAATAGTGATCAATTATCGAGTTCTTTTTGCTCCATGCACCAATTGTAAATGAGTTTGTCCTATGGTTTAGGAAATATGGTTTTCCTTTGTCAGATGGGTTTTGCTAATGACCTGCAAATGGCAAACAGTTTTCCATTTAACATATCGAGATGGTATTCTTCATGGCGACTCCTTACATCATACTAGTATATATTAGTGAACTCAGTGACGATTTTGAAGTGCGAGTAATGATTCTTTTGGTGGTACTTAAATGAACTATAAACACAATACAATATTAATTATTCTTTGGATCAGGGTTTCTCGTATTCGTAGGAATTATGTACAGGTGAGCATCATCTCACAGCCTTACAACGTAACCTTGTGTGGACTTCATCTCACAATCTTAAATTAGACGGCTGACAGTTTTCCTTCAACGGATGGGATTCTTCAATGGACCTGTGAATCCCACCGACTCCTTATGACTGGAAATTCAAATAATTATGTCGATTTTGACAGGCACTTCTTTGGACTATATAAAACTTAATTCGTAGGACATACATATAGTATGCTGGAATTATGTACAGTGCAGGTGAAGCTTCATCTCGATCGAGCTCGATCACACAATCTTAATCTCTACTATAATTGAAAACTTGAGACTCATCACGGAGGCTTCAACGCTCCCGTCAAGGAAACCGCCGAGGACACTGGCCGCTATCGTCGCGACTCCATGATCTCCGCGATCTCCACGATCTCTACGCGCAGGCCACAGACCCTGCGCCCTCCACTTGCTCGGCTGCTGCCTCCGCCGCGACGGCAGAGTCGCTGTCGTACCCACCACAGTGGACACTGCCGTCGACGCCGCCAGCGAGACCTCTATCTTCGCGCCGCCACGATCTCCGCGTGCAAGCCACGATCTCCGCGCGCACATCGGCGGCAGTCCGGCACCGGGCCTCGAGCGACGGGCACCGCGACGATCGCAATCCAAAGCCCCCGCGCCGTGATCGCGGCGCCCTCGGTGGCGGCGTCGTCAGCACTCGATCGGTGACTGCAACTAGGCCAGGAGCGAGCACAACCTCCGCAGCACTGTCGTCATGCTCAACCCCTCCGCCCAGGCGATATCCAGCACAGTCTTCATCATCACGTGATGCCACCACAGGTATCCCTCAGTGCGAGACTCTTCCAGTTCCAGGTCGGGTCACTTTCTAGCTTTTAATTTCGAGCCATGCACATACATGGATTTGAAACTTCTGAATTTAGTTGCCTGACGATGACATGAATTTCAGTTGAGATTAGATGAACTTGTGCAAGCTCCACTCTCATTTAATGTACCGCCCGGAGCTCTGCTTCTATCTTCATTGACGGCTCATACACCTATTAAATTTATTTTGGATATTACAACCAAAAGATCCATAAATTAAATATATTTGACAGGAACATAACTATCTTATTGAACTAAGTCAGGCGGGTTCAGAGATAAAACATAAAATCCAACTTATTCCTGCAATGCATTTTCAAACCTACAACTAATGCAAAACTATGCAATTTCCTCGAAAATGCACATACATACAATCTTTATTTTAAGCATGGGAATGGTAACACACATGTCAAGCAGTGATGGTTAGTTGTCTTTGAGTAAAATGGGCAATGGCTCCAGCCTCCGTCAGCAGAGGCATCACCTACATAGTGCATGTTGGTTCAGTAAGAGTTTCCCTGAAATCCCATGATGAAATAATGATAATCAATATGCAGAGTCCTAAAATATGAAGCACACAGAGACCGCGAAATGTTTGCCATGAGTGTAAACTCAGTAATTTGTGCTTGGAATACCAATATTCAGCTTGAAAGAATATGATTTGGCACTTCATTTGTCAGCTGATTTGTTCTTATTTTTTTCTGTTGACAAACAGGATAGGAAATTTATTTATATAGAGACCAAAGCTGTACAGAAATATTTGCAAAGGACTGTACAAAGAAGTAGCAAAAAAGAAACCAGTGATTTGGTCTTTGTTACAGATGCTTTTGTATTATTAATTAATTAATTTGTTAGTATTACATGCCTCTTGCAAGTTGTTCAGTATAGTTAATTAGCTTTGGACTTCGATGTGGCCCGTAGCATTAGCAGTGTCATAAATCTTTGTTTCATAAAAAAACATTCAGCAAAAATGATAAATGTCGTCGCAGGTAGTTGACAATGTCTATGCCGAGAGATACACACGATGCGCTAAGTGATATCACCAACATCACAGGTATGTTTTTAATTATCGAGATGTATGCAACACTTCTCACGATAGCTTACTAATTTCCTATATATATGCCCAAATGCCCAGACGAGGCGGCGCGGAAAAGGGAGGAAAGGAACCGGCAACAACGAAAATGTTGAGCTTTATGTTGGTTTATCAAGGGGGGTATCAAGATCAACAACTAGAATTTTGGCTAAACCAAAAGACGAATTGGATCCTACAGGGAAGAGTACCAAGAATATTGTTTACAAAGACGTCCTGAACTGGTGAATAGCGGTGACGGGTGCCATGGACAAGCTGGAGGCCTTCTTGAGGTTCAAGGAGGTTCAGTCAAATTGGGTTGATTTTTCACCAGTGCCTTTCTTGGTGGAGCAAAGGGAGTCCAGTGAAGAACCCGTTGTATCAAAAACCTCTGTTGCCCAAGGTCAGTATCCATGATTTGAAACGAAGATCTTTTGTGAGGAATACATGTCAGCGTTGATTGCCTGTTGTATTTGGCATATTCAGGTGACATCAGGAGTAATTATCTTAATGCACACATTTGGTTTTTCAATTCCGTGCTTGCTTTAATTCTTACAAGAAAAGTTTCTTCTGACAGTATAATTAGAAGAGTGAAATCAGTAAAGATAAATAAGTTAACATTTCAAGGTGTGAAGTTATGTGGTCTTTGCAAGGTAAAATATAGGCTATGGTACAATGGCAGTCAGTCTCATAGTTGTGCAATTAATTATGCAATGTCTTGGTCAAAGGGAAGATCATAACCGATCGGAAGTTCAATGTCTCTACAAGCTTGTTGTACAATCTGATATCCTATTGAATTATTACTCTGTATGTTATCCTACTAATTATCCTTCTTTTCTTTTTATTCTTTGGAATGCAGAATTAACGACAAAAGGCCAGGGTCTCAGGGTGTGACTTCAAATACATTCTTTACTGTGTGGTTAGATCATATAATGATTTATGTGATAGACTTTCTTTACTGTGTGGTCAGTCATACACTGATTTATGTGATAGACTAATAATGAAGGAAGTTGATAGTACAATAGTTAGTCGGCTTAGTTCTGCTCTTATGAAGTAATCTTCATAAAATGTCATATAACTCATGGCCATTTTATTTTTTAGAGAGACAGAAACCAGATAAATTGAGTACTATGAAGTGCACTGTTAACTTCATCAAGCCTACAATTAAGAAAGACTACCATTGAAACTCGCTTCATTATCAACATATTTACATAAACCATATATATATCATCGTTTGGTTGTTTTCGAATGAAACCGTAGCGTTAGCACTGACACTATACTAGTTCCATACAAGTGTACAACCTTATATGAACTTCATTCATCTCAAACAACCTATACACAAACCTCCTACGTACATGTAGGAGATTGTGGTTCAAGTAGTAGTAGTAGATATGTGAACCTTAACGACAAAGCTACTAGCTTACAGTTTGGGTGCTTCGTATATCAACTAGGCCGTCGGGTATGAAGGCTGCATGGCGAGGCCGCACAGACCCTCCTCGTCGGCGATGTCCCTCTCCATCCGGATGTACCCGCCCTCGCCCCACGAGGTCCCCCACGAGTTTTTCATCAGCCAGTACTTGGTGCCGTCGCTGGCGACGCCATACCCGACGGCAGCGATGCCGTGGTCGAGCTCCGTTCCACACGCGCCAGAGAGGACGCCGCGCTTGTAGAATCTGAAGAGGGAGTCCCCTCCGTCGACGGCGACCGACACGGGCTGGTTGGACACCGCCTTGCGCAGGGAGGCCTCGTCGTTGGCCGGCACGTCCTCGTATCCCGTGATGGACGCGGCGTCGTTAGAAGCCTCGTTGGAGTTGCAGGTGCCGTCGGAGCCCGTGTACGGGTACTTGCTCTCGGTGGTGAGCCCGCCGTTGTCGACGATGAACTCGAAGGCGTCGTCCATCTCCCCACCCTCGCAGCCCTGGTCCATGCCGTTCACGTCGCAGTCGACGAGCTCCTGCTCCGAGAGCGAGACGAGCTTCCCTGTTCTCAGCTTCACGGCGCCCTCCATGGACGCCACGGCCGAGAACGCCCAGCAGCACCCGCACTCGCCTTGGTCCTTGATGGGCGTCACGGCGCCTTTGGTCCTCCAGTCCACGGACGCCGGAACGTCGTCGAGGCTCACGTTCGCGTACCTGAACCCCGTCGCCTTCCGGCTGCTCGCCGCCGCCGGCCTGGGCTTGTAACCGGTCCGGGTGGCTCTGAACTCGTCGTCGGTGAGGTCGGCGAACTGGTTGGCCTCCAGCCAGAACTTGTGGTTCCGGGCGTTCACGGACTCGATGAAGGCGACGTTGGCCTTGAACACCTCGAACCGCCGCGCCTTCTCCGCCGCGTCGCTGTAGACGCGGCCGTACTTGGCCATCCACTCCTCGTGCCTCGACACCATGGCCTGCTGGTCGCCCAGGTCGCGCGCCGCCAGAGCGCCGCTCAGAGCGCAGGCGCAGGCGACGGCGACGGCCAAGAGGAAAGCCGACGAGCGGTGAGTAGCCATGGCGTTCACGGTAGGCTGCTAGTGCTAGCTAGCATACACTGGATTTCGTTTTGAATGGGACTGTATGTAGTGCTGGGAGTGACATGCATGCATATGCAAGGTGTATTTATAGGTGACCAACGACGGAATTTCAGAATTTGTGAACCGTGCCGAGATTGTGAACAGTTGTAGTAGAATAATCATAGAGACTGCTGCGTGCCGTGCGAGCATCGAACGAACCAAAACTCTGGTAAACAAGGACAGGCATTTGGATTTGGATTAGCTTCCGGGGCGAGCTGAAAAGGACATCATATATTAAATAGAGGCCAATCTGTCTATTAAACAACACTGGGATAGCATATATTGTATATATATTAGTTGATCAAAGAATGTGAACCTCTATGTTCACATTCCAGTAAATATATAATTCTAGTATCACACGCTACCTTTTTACTTTGTGTGAAACCACGCGGCATGCTCTAGTGTACTTTTCATTGTAAATTGCATCTCGTATAGATGAGCTCTGATAACTGTTAAGAATATCCAATAGGATCACGTGACCGTAATATTTGGTTGATTGATATCTCCTGAAGATTGGTTGTACGCTCAGGCTTGGATTGCGGGTGAAGGCAAGTATCACGGCTTCGGTTAGGTAGGATAGGTATCTCCTGATTGATGTAATCTTGTGATGTAATCTAGAGTTATCAAAGTAGTTAGGTTCTTCTTGTTGTACAAGTTGTACCGCCACGCCAGTGGCTCTTCCTGGCTATATTAACAAGTCGTGAGCCTGAGAGGGCATCACGTTCCAATCATTTTCACATGGTAATCAGAGCTAGGTTAGTCCACAATATTCTCGATGGCTTCCTCTTCCGCGCTTCAACAATCGTTCTCTCTGATCGGTTGTCCCGTCACCGAGAAGCTAGGCAAAGGGAATTTTCCCCTATGGAGCGCCCAGGTGCTGTTTGCTCTTCGCGGTGCGCAGATAGCGCACTATCTCGAGCCCGACATTGTGGTGCCGGCGAAGCAGATCCCCAAGGCGGCCGACAAGCCGACTGAGCTCATCCCCAACCCTGAGTATGAAACTTAGGTTGCGAAGGACCAGCAGATCGTTAACTATCTGCTCTCCAATATCTCCAAGGAGATCCAGGTGCAAGTCTCCAATTGCGCCACATCGGTAGAGATCTAGAAAGTGATCTCAGAGATGACGGCTTCCTAGTCTCGGGGCCATATCATCAACACGCGCATGGCGTTGGCCACAGCGCAGAAGGGCTCGTCTACAATCGCCGACTACTTCAACAAGATGAAATCTCTTGCTGACGACATGGCGGCCGCCGGCAAACGTCTTGAAGATGAAGAGATCATCTCCTATGTACTAGCCGGACTTGACATGGATTTTAATCCGATTGTCTCGGTTGTCGTGGCGCGCACGGAGCCGCTATCTTTGGGCGAGCTCTACACCAAGCTAGTGAGCTAGGAACAGCGGATGGATCTCCTGCACAGTGGATCAGGTTCATCTGCTAACATGGCTACACATGGAGGCCGTGGCGGTTTCAACCGCGGAGGTGGTGGCCGAGGACGCGGGCGCGGCCGCAACCGTGGCGACAACAACAACAGTGGGCGCCCCCAGCAGAACTACAACGGCGATAAACCCATCTGCCAACTCTGCGGCAAGGAGGGCCACACCGGACTCCGCTGCTTCAAGCGTTTTGACGCTTCCTTCACCGGCCCACCAGAGCAATCCCGATCTGCCTCCTCTGCGTCATATGGGATCGACACCAACTGGTACACCGACACTAGTGCTACCGACCACATCACGGGAGAGCTGGAGGAACTCACCGTGAGGGACAAGTACCATGGAAACGATAAGGTTCATGCTGCTAATGGCGCAGGTATGAGAATCAATCAAATTGGTCGAAGTTTTGTTCGTACCCCAAATCAAAATCTCGTCCTAAACAATGTTCTTTATGTTCCTGAAGCAAACAAAAGCCTTGCATCTGTTCATCGTGTTACATCCGATAACCATGCTTTTATTGAATATCATCCCAACTATTTTTTTGATTAAGGACCAACCGACGAAAAAAACCATCCTTAGAGGGGAATGTGAAGGCGGCCTCTACCCGTTGAGGTCTAGGCCGTCATCGAATAAAGGGGCGTTTGGTGCTGTCAAGTCTCCTTCGTCCAGGTGGCATAGTCGTCTCGGCCACCCTTCTTTTGCAGTCGTTCAACAAGTCCTTAGCAAAAATAGTATTCCCTTTGTTGCCGATTTGAATAAAGAAACTATTTGCGATGCTTGCCAAAAGGGCAAAAGTCATCAGCTACCCTATCCTAGATCCACAAGTATCTCATTGAGTCCCTTAGAACTTGTGTTTTTTGATGTATGGGGTCCTGCGCCCACTTCTGTTGGCAAAAACAGTTATTACGTTCGCTTCATTGATGATTTCAGCAAGTTTACATGGATTTATTTGCTTCATCATAAATTTGAAGTTTTTCAAAAATTTCATGAATTCCAAGCTTTGGTTGAATGTCAATTTGATAGAAAAATTCTCGCTATGCAAACTGACTGGGGAGGGGAATATCAAAAGCTAAATGCCTTCTTTCAGCGCATTGGCATCTCACATCATGTCTCATGCCCTTATGCACATCAACAAAATGGCTCCGCTGAATGCAAACATCGCCATATTGTTAAAAAAAGTCTCGCTTTTAGCCCATGCTTCTATACCCATAAAATTTTGGGATGAAGCTTTCATCACTGCCACCTATCTTATTAATCGCCTCCCTAGTAAAATTATCAATAACCAAACTCCTCTTGAACGCCTGTTTCATCAAACACCAGACTACTCCTCTCTTCATACTTTTTGCTGCGCATGCTGGCCGAATCTACGGCCTTGTAACGCTCGCAAGTTGCAATTCCGCTCCAAACGCTGTGTCTTCCTAGGATACAGTAACATACACAAGGGGTTCAAGTATCTGGATGTCAATGAAGAGCATGTCTATATTTCCCGAGACATGGTCTTCGATGAACACATCTTCCCCTTTGCCAAACTCCACCCAAACGCCGGTGCTCGATTACGATCTGAAATTCTCCTCCTTCCTCCAACTTTGATAAATCCTTCACATGATTTTGGGGACAACAATTCTTCAGATCATTTTGATAATGATTCCCTATATACTAACCCTATGTCTAAGCGTGCAGCACATGAAAAAAATTCGGCGTCAAACGAACTAAATCTGGCTGGAAACAGGCGTCATTTCATGCTCCCCGAGCAATTTCCCGTTTTGGCAGGAACAGGCGGCGATCCCTAGGCTGATTCACCTACACCTTCCACCGCGGAGCTGACAGGATCAGTCTTGGATCTAGTGGCGTCAGCTCCTGCGCTCATGACGAACGTGTCGGCTCCACCGGCATCCTCTCCGCGTGCGCCACCTGTCTCGAACTCGCCTCACCTGGCTCTGCGGACGAGGGGACAGGATATTTCGATCGGTGGTGGAGAATCTCCCTTGGGTCCGCCGCTCACCGGATCTTCTACGCCAGCCACAGATCAACCCACCGGATCTTCGCTCGCCGGATCTTCTGCGCCAGCCACAGATCAACCCACCGGATCTTCTACATCGCCTGCAGCACCGGCTCTCGAGCGACCCACCACACGTCTACAACAAGGTATACGCAAACCAAAAATTTACACTGATGGAACTATTCGATATGGTCAGTTAGCAGCCACCACTGAAGGTCCTATTGATTTTCAACATGCCTTAGTCGATAATAATTGGAAGCGTGCTATGGATGTTGAATTTGATGCATTGATCAGGAATAAAACTTGGCATCTAGTTCCACCTCAAAAAGGTAAAAATGTGATAGATTGCAAGTGGGTCTATAAAATCAAAAGAAGATCAGATGGGAAAATTGACAGATATAAGGCACGCCTAGTAGCAAAGGGGTTCAAACAATGATATGGCATTGATTATGAGGATACTTTTAGTCCTGTTGTGAAAGCAGCCACAATTCGTCTTGTGCTCTCTCTAGCTATGTCTAAGGATTGGTGTTTGAGGCAACTCAATGTTCAGAACGCTTTTTTGCATGGTTTCCTTGAAGAAGAGGTATACATGAAATAACCGCCAGGTTATGAAGATAAGACCAAACCACATCACTTATGCAAACTTGACAGATCCCTATATGGTTTAAAACAAGCACCATGGGCCTAGTATTCTAGGTTGTGTGGTAAACTTCAAAGTCTAGGCTTTGTTCCCTCCAAAGCTGACACATCATTATTCTTTTATCGGAAAGGAAATCGTGTCATCTTTATGCTTGTATATGTTGATGATATAATTGTGGCTAGTTCATCACAGGAAGCAGTGGATGCTCTTCTCCGAGATTTAGAGAAGGACTTTGCAATCAAAGATCTCGGGAACCTTCACTATTTTGTTGGCATACAGGTTCAAAGAAAGAAAGGTGAATTGCTTTTGACACAGGAATGGTATGCTTCTGATATCCTCAAGAGAGTTAATATGCAGCTGTGTAAACCCGTCAAAACATCCCTTAATACTACCAAAAAGCTTTCAGTCACTAATGGCACTCGGTTAGGAGTGGAGGACTCAACCAGATACAGGAGAATTGTTGGAGCTCTCTAGTATCTCACCCTCACACGACCAGATCTATCTTTTTCGGTCAACAAAGTTTGTCAATTCCTTCACTCGCCGACGACTGTTCATTGGGAAGCTGTGAAGAGAATATTGAGATATGTACAAGGAACAATCGACCTAGGGTTAAAAATTAGAAAATCTAATTCTATGCTTGTAAATGCTTTTTCAGATGATGATTGGGCCGGTTGCCCTGATGACAGACGATCTACAGGCGGCTTTGCTGTATTCCTAGGTTGCAACCTAGTGTCATGGTGCGCAAGAAAACAGCCTACGGTTTCAAGATCAAGTACAAAAGCTGAATACAAGTCTTTGGCCAACGCTACTGCAGAGGTAATGTGGGAACAAAAGTTACTTGATGAGTTAGGTATTCCACATCCTTTGGC